CCAATATAGACCCTCAAAATACTATATATAGTCCTTAAAATAGGGACCCCAAAAGGGTACCCCTAATTTTGGGAAATTACCATATACGAATATTTTTCAACGGGGTTTTAGGGGCCAACCAGTACCTTATTGGTACTTATTGAGGCCCCAGTAGCGAAGCGAACTCACTCCTCCTCAAAGAGATACTTTTATCCTGGGCAATTTCGGTCTTAGGGTTTAGGGCTAAAGCATTCCGGTAGCTTAGGGTTGGTTTACCTACCGGGGGTTGAGAACAATGTGTGCGTGTATATACATATATGTTCATATATCATAAGATAAGGATGATACCCCCTTCTTCGCTGCCAACCCTAGTAAGTTTAGGGTGCAGGGCCTAGGCCAAAAAATGTAAGTCCGCTGCCTGAGTTGGACAGGAGATCAAAGAACAGCTGATGGCTCCTATTGCGCCAGGCACGCCCCGTGCCCAGAAGCACCGGGTTTAGGGACTACGGACTAGGGTTTAGGAATTTGGGCTTAGGGTGTAGGTATGATCCATGAGGGTTTAGGGATTGTGACTCGTCATGAGAATGGCAACATTCACGCATAATTCTTGGATGAGCGCCGGTTGCTGACGTGGCAACCATGGGGATCACCAAGCTGTTCATCCACTTGCATGGTCATGAGATTGCAACATTCACACATAGTTCTTGGATGAGCGCCGGTTGCTGACGTGGCAACCACGGGGATCACCAAGTTGTTCATCCACTTGCATGTAGTGGCCGCAGTAAGAGATGGAGAAGCAGAACTAGCTATTGCGGATCCTAAGAGCGACATGCCAGTGCGTAAGGGCCCAAGTACAAAAACAAGAGGCTTAGGGTACCTAAATCTCAATGTTGAGGTAGACCCCTAGGTATCTCTTTTCTGCTCCTTGGCCAAGGCCAAGTCCTTTCGATTGAGGCTTCGTGTTTGGCTCCTCCCGCGCACGAAAAATCGTTTGAAAGCACAACCTAGAGTAATCAATGTACAGATATAAGGACTGTGTACCTGTTATTTTGCTATCTGTACTACTGTAATTCTTTCTACTGTAGTGCGAGACTACCCTAGGAAGAGCTTACTTTGAACCATGCAAGGGGCAGCGTTTTGCTGAGACGGTCCCATCAGGTTCCCTTAGCATGCGTCCCTTGATATGAAGGTCACACCCAAAATCATCTTGCCAACAGAGCTAAACAAATCAGACTGCGCAACAGCAGCGGGTCCACAAAAAAAGGGACAATATAGTCTTCAAAGAGATGGATCTCAAAGGGTGGGTGGATGGTTCTAGCCGGGTCTACTTACACGTGGCATTAGCTGCTGGGCTATTGGCAGACCCTATAATCTCCTGACAGACCTGTGACCGCATTTTGAGAAACCCCCACGTTGCAGTTTTCATCATGAGTGTGGCTCTACACTACACATCTCAAAATCTTACAATCCAACTTATTTATGGGCAACCCTAAAACGGACTGCGTCTAGAAACCTCCACATCGCACTGGGACAGGAGCAGATCCCTTCGCCAGAAAGTTCTGAGACATCCTATCCCTTGTACTCAGAGGGGATGACAGACACGGTTTGTTTCGGGTTCAGGAACATGGCAGTTTCCCAATAGAGATTTCAATCTACTATAATGTTTATGGGGACCCCACAAAGCGTTTCAAAGCGTCCCTTGTTTTGGGAACCCCGCCCCCCCATGTAAGAGGTACCACAACATTACGTACAGAGCGCAGTTTCTTGGGTACCCTGGTTACTCTAGATAGGGTGTAGTGTCTTGGGCCCTTGGCTTTGTGGCTAGCGATATTGGCGAGCAACTTTCCCCCAAAAATGTATGCAGGCAGCGACCTATCCAAATCGTAAACCCAAAGCCCCAATCATGCACAAAGAATAGTGCACTTCATCTTTGCTAAGAGAGAGTGGACAAACCCTGACCTAGACCCTCATACTCTACTCCGGCTTTAGGATACCTATGTTTATAGTTAGTACCTTCCTGAATGAATGGGCGAAAATAAGCACCCCGAAAAAGGGCCAGGGTGTGGTGTACACCCATTTGCTGAGTCTTTTCTCCGCGCGCGGTTGCTGTACAGTTCACTGCATGCAAGGCAGGCGAAACCATTTCTCCGCTCAGAAGTGCATACCCACGTCCAAGCGCGGCTTAGGGCTTCAGATTAGGCAGTAGGGTTAAGGCTTCCAAAAGATGCAGAAACACGTTTGAGCTCAGAGCTTAGAAGCTTGTGAGATCTAACGGGCAAGCACCTGTAGGCAACACCCACATCTACCTTCAAACCTTAAAGCCTTTTTTTAGCCTAAGGTCTAGAGTATAGGGTTACCACCAAACTAACATTGGGGGCAGGCCGCTCTGAGATTGGATCTGGTAGCGTTGCCGTGCGCCACTGACCCTGCGCAGCGCGGACAGAAGCCCTGCCAGCGGCGTTTGCCTTCACTCCTGTAGAATCCCTATGTGATCCTTAGCCCATCCCTAGACCCGAAACCGTTTCGTGTAATCCCATTTTAGCCCCTAAGGTAGTCTTAGAATTTAAATTCAAGTTCATGCCAGCAGCCGGAAGCAAACACTATAATGAGTCTTCCAAGTTGGGCTGCATGGCTCGCGATTACTCACATATTTGGGTTCAAGGTTTATCTGGACCTACCCAACGAAATATGCACAACTCAAAACTAGATGTTCTGCTTGGCTATGCGACGGTGTATCTTTGCAATCTGGCGGCTCCTCGTGATGAGTCCCTGATCGTGGGAAACTAGTTTCAAGAAGGACAAACCACGAACAGCATTTCTGAGATACCTGCACTGTATCACCTCAACAGGAAAAACGGCTGCCAAGCCTTTGACCCCAAATCCAGAGTCCCAATATCTAAACACCTTCGAACACCGTTTCTGGCAACCCCAAACCCTGAACAGCTTAAACCCTAAACCCTAAACCCCCTGGCTCGGCTTTGAAGAATTCATTGGCCCAGCTGGGGACAAAGCGATCCCGGGCAACGGGCCAGCTCTGCTTGCACTGTTGCAGGTGCTCCAGGTTTAGCAAGTTTAGGGTTTCAGGGATTTAGGAGTTCAGGGTTTAGGGTTGAGGGTTGAGGGTTCAGGGGTTTTGGGTTTTAGGTTCAGCTAGGCTTCAAGGTCTAGCGTGGTCTTTAGCAATCGGGGAGATGTTTGGGATGGAGGTTTCCATGAACAGGGCGGGCCCCAACATGGACCGCACGTACTATAAGCCTCAAACCCTAAGCCCTCAACCTCAAACCCGGAACCGTTATGGTTTAGGGTTTAGGTTAAACCCTTGATTCTAATTTGTTGTCAAGTTTGAGGGATTTCAGGTCGAAAGTTTAATACCTTAGGGCTTGGGAGGGTTCAGCAGGGTGTTTTGGATCAGGCTCTGGCTGCGAAATAGTAAAGAATTGTTTAGCGTCAACTTGCATTGGGCTTGAGCATTTTTTTGGGAGGGGATGTGGATATTCAGAGAAACCCGTTGAGCTATAGTAGCAGCGCATTGCAAATCGATTGCCCTACCTGGTGTTCGGACTCCCCCGGTCTGAAATTAAGTATTCACTATCGTAGCCCAGGTATCTTGCTAGGGGTTGGTCGGGGGGATAAGGGAATACAATCCCTCTATAATCCCCATATCATATACATGTATATTCAAATATTCTTATATATAGAAATTATATAGATGTGTTTTGGTGCACATGTTTGGCACGCGGCCGTTAGGAGTGTTTACTGGAAGCCGAAGGTGATCACTTCTCAGGGCTTTAGAGGAGGACCTGCGCTAGCCTAAACCCTAAACCTTAAACCCTAAGCCCTAAACCTGAAACCCTAAACCCTGAACCTAAAACCCTAAACCCTTAACCCTAGGGAGGACCTGCACTAGCTAACCTGGCTATGCTCGAGAGGAGAGGCCAGAGGCAAAGGCCCTTGAAGCCTAAACCCAGGATACTCCCTTAGGCTCTCAAGATTCTAGGGGTTATATGGGGATATATAGGGGTTCTTTAGGGATAATGGAGAAGAACATGGAAGCTACTTTTTGGGGTTTAGGGTGGGTTGTTTTCAAAATTATGGCCCTTTTTGGTTATTGTTTATAGTACGCCACCTAATAGCTAGGGGTACCAAAAATGGGACCCTAATTTTTGGGAACTACCCGTCTAGATCTACTCAGACCACAGTGAGAGGTTAGACCTGCTTGGTGACATGGAAGTCATCTCGTAGGGTGATCAGGTCCATGATGTCCATGCAACAAAGGGCCGCAAGTTCGGTAAAGCAGCCTAGAGCAAGTCTGACCTTGCATTTCTGAAAAGCTACAAGCATGCCCTAAGGCCCTATACTCCCCCCTAGGTTGATAGGATATGGCTTTGGGTATATTACAATAAGATCCCCATATACCCCATATTCTATCTGGGGACTAGATCCTAACTTACAAATTTGGGGACCACTCCTTACAATGAGGCACATGTGCCAAGCAACCCGGCCCAACTGCTTCATTGCATGGAGTAAAACTTTGGCAGGAGCCCGGACACAAAGCCACAGAGAATTGTGTGCAGTCATATGTATCTGGGGCAATACGAAGCAAATGGACACCTAGGCCGATAGAAGCTCAAATCTCTCTCAAAGCGCTGAAGCCTCATCTCGGAATTTCCTTAAGCAGGCAACCCCAAGTATAAACGACAGTCCTTGTACGGACAAGAAGGACCCCCTGTTTTTGGAAGCCCCCAGAAATCCTACTGAAGCGCTCGACCTCAAGGCTTCACGGGTGATGTCCACAACCCAAGGCATGTGGAGAGTGACTTGCGCCCCACGGTCGGAGTTGAGAAAATGATTTCGCATGGCATGCTCAGGGTTAGAGCTGCACCTGGCATGTCACGGCGCCTTTTGCACATTTTGAAAAAATGGGTTCCCTTGACTTCGTCCCAAACGTTTAGACAACTTGGGCCCTAAACCCCAAACAATGAAATCACAGTTCCAAAGGGACTCTGCACTTGGCCTATCAGGAGCCTGAGGAAACGGAAGAGAAGGCAGAGGAGGAGGAAGCGGCGAAGGTAGAGACGGAGGAGCCAACAGACGCGACTCGACTCAGAGATTGTTGTTACCGGTTGTCAAACCCTGAGACCTAAAACCCTATGTGACTCATTATGGTCGTTTCCATTTTCTGTTCCATTCTTCTTTTATAAGCCTTATGGTGCGCTTGGAACCGCCTAACAGGGCAGAGAAGGCCTGGGCCTCGTGATAGCGTTCCGGGGTCCCTTTGTAGCTTTTGTTAGCCCAACGGTTCAGGGGTTTAGGGTTTAGGGTTCTCTGGTGTACAGATTGGTAGGATTCAGGGTTTAGGGGATGTAGGGCTTCTGCGGTCCCAGCTGCTCAACGGATATCCTCTTCCTGAACATGCTTCTGAGAACTATGCTCCCGTGAAGCACGTATAGCAGCCGCTGATTTTCACAAGCTCCACGACAAGCGCATGGCCAAGGTCATGAATTTCTCTCATGATACTGTTTCTTTGACAGGTCGCTTTGTGTCTTGCATACTTGAGAAGGACATGGTTGTGATGATTTTCAATGTGTAACTATTTTTGCGCGGGAGGCAATTCGAGTTCTGGTAAATTGTTTCGTACGTATACTTTATTCCCGTTTTGAGCGTTGCCTCGTTGCTGTTCATACTTTAATGCGTGCGTTCTCTGGGTCATTCTAATACGGTCCCTCAGTCATGATTGCCTACTCAACGTCATAGAACTGTTGTCATGTCCATAGGTCCTGATCTATTGCAGTCGCGACTTAATTGGCTTGTGAGCCGAGATGCCATCCCTGACGGCATTTTTCGCTTGTTCTAAGCCTTGCTACAAGCCAGAGAGCTCAAAATGATTCATTCAAGGAAGTGAGTTCATCATAGATAATACTACTGGGATCCTTCATATAGTTTCAGTTAAATTCTTTAATTAAAGGGTGTTGGGCAGGGAGAATCAGGCTGGGTTGCTGCTTGATGTACGCTTTACAGTCCTGTCAACAGGAACATGGTTTCCATAGATTCAGGGAGGGGGGGTATCTCTTTCATTAGGGATTCTATTATCTCGGGGGCTGTATTGAGGCCGCCCGTGTTTGAAAACACCCCTCCTATGATAGTGAATCTGCAGGTGCAGGCAGCTGGAACTCTGAAGCCTAAACCTTAGGTCAGTCCCCCTTACAGTAATTGTCATCACTGTAGGCAATAGGAGTTATTTCGAACCGGCAATGGACCCCCCCCTTGAGAAGGACAGTAACTATAAGGGGAAATGACCCAACCTAAGAGCCAGCCATATGAAAATTAATTAGATAGAGAAGAAGATGAGGAGAGTGAGGAGAAAAGAAACCCTTATTCCTAAACTGGAACTGAGGCTTAGGGTCGCATTGCAACGCCAATGACCTAGTATGCGCAGCAATGGAAGAATTGAATATGCACTGGGCTTATGTAGGGGTTATAGGTATTTGGGTTTAGGGCCAAGATGCGCCCCGGACCTCAACTATATTGGGGTCAGGCTGTTATACTCATTACCCTCCCCCAAACCAGGATGGAATCCCTGAAGGGCTCTACAAAGATTACTTACTGTTAAAGGAGCTGTATATAGCTATATGTCCTATGTAATGTACTATAATCTAAGCTCCTTAAAGGGGGTTATTTAGGGGAGCTTCTCAAGGGTTATTAAGAGGGATACTAGGAGTTTGGACTATAGCTCATGTGGGCTTCCATGTTTGCTTGAGGCAGCTTTAATGGGGAGTTGGGTGGGGGCAGTTACTACAAAGCTGTGGGTAGCTGAGGTTGCAGGCGAGGGTGCCGAGGCTGTGCAGGAAGAGGCGGCAAAGGGTGAGTCCGAAGAAAAGGATGCCGAGGAGAAGGCCCCAAAATCTTCTCAGCACAGCTCTTGCATTCAGGTCGTTCTCAAGCGTGGGTGTGGGGATCCCCCTATTCATGGAAACTACCATGTCTCCTATAAGGTGGCCTCGGCCGGCAAACGCAATGCCCGTAAAGGACCGCAGCGCCCCGCAGCTTCTCGAAAAAGTGGCCCCCCGTTTTTGCTGGCGGCCTCTGAGTCAGGATCCCCCCACCCTAAACCCTAAACCCAGTTGCCATCTCGAAATCTCAAAACCCCCACACGATTCAAGATCATCTTGCTGTACGGGCTATTACACCCGAGACTTTCTTATTAGGGCCGGACAAAGGTATGAAAGTGGTGACCACTGTTTAGATGATGCTCTAGCTTGCGCCTTTCTGGCTGTTGCAAAATAGGGAATGAAGGAACGGAAGCTCGCCATTTGCGCTGTTAACAGAGAAGGTAACGCAATGAACCACTCGACCGTCAACTCCAAAGACAATAAACTCTACACCCTAGTCTTCGCACCTTACTTACCCGCAGCCAGATTCAGGCAGAGGAAGAACAGGAGGAGACTCCGGAGGAAGAGACGAAAAAGGAGGCGCTCCAACTTGTTTTGGCTCCCAGACCTTCCATCTGGGCAAATGGGGTTTAGGGTTTAGGGCTTAGGTTCAGGGTTTAGAGTTCAGGGTTTAGGATTCAAGTACTGCAAAAAATGGGGGTATGACCACATTATTCGGGTACTTGGCCCTCTAGGTTGTAGCGAGCTCAACCCAGCTCACCCTACTTGTAGCTATTATTGCCAGAGGGCCTTATCCAAAGCAGTCCGCGTACAAGCCAAGAAAATCCAATCAAACCCGGAGCAAAAACCCAAACCGTGATTGCGGTAATATTATAGGGTTATAGTCCCCCTTAAGTAGATAGAATATGGGGTATATGGGGATCATATTATAATATACCCAAAGCCAGATTCTATCTACATAAGGGGGACGATATGTTGGGGTTATATGGGGATAATAGAAAAGAAAGTATTTAGGGTTGGGGGTTTTGCTGGGTAGGCTTGGCTTTTTGAACCTTGGGCCTAGTTGGCTGTGGGCTTGGGTTGCCAGAAGACATTCCTCCATGCGGCGAGGGCCGCCTCTAAGCGGAAGCCTACCTGAAGCAACCTACCTCACAAGGGTATTACTGGAGGTACAGCTTCTTTCTAAATGGTTTGACGGTTCGGCGGGTGTTCTTTCGTTTCGGATCCCCCTGAACATCCATAAATGCTTGGAGCAAATTTTAGGGAGCCCTCCCCACAACCCCAAATCTTGCCAAGTCCCGGAATTCAGTCAGGAGGCCGAAGCCGCACCCATGGACGACAAGGAGGAAGAGAAGGAGCCTGGCAGACAGAACATGGGGATTCTTCCGGGTCGAGCATGCGGATGCATGCTGTTTTGTTGGTGGCCCGTCATCATCAGTATTGTGATGTTGTAGTAGCAGTATCACAAAATGCGATGATAAGCACAGTCACAATATGTAGTCCAGATCCCTCTCCACTGCAAGATTACTGTCCCCTAGACCGCAAGAGAAGGGAAGTGATAGTTACAAGACAAAGAGAGCCTTTGAAACCCAATGAAGCTACTGACCGGGAGGTTGCTAAGGAAGTTAGCTTAAGTTACCATAATATGGGTATATAGTAGGTCATATGGTTTCCTTATAGCGGCAACTTCGCTCAAGTTCTCTGAGGGCTTTACGAGGGAACCTTACTGGGATCCCGCATGTTATGGGGGGCAATGCAGGGATTTTTGTGTAAGAGGGGAAGAAAAGAGTATATAATAAGGATTATTCACAGGGCAATCCCTCCGTAGAGGTCGCTCCTAAGAGCGCTTGGTTTTTTTCATAGCAGCCTCGAACTCATGGCTTAGGCCGCCCACCGGCGATGGTGGGTGGCACCTACGCGCCGTCAACATCGATGGCGCACGGCGACCTACCTGGACCTGCCTCAGCACAGCCACGGGCATGGTAGGACCCACGTGAGACCCGTTTGCTATTTGGGTAAGGCATTCCCAAGGAGATCACCCCCTACCCCCTTAAATCCTCTCGCCTCCGGCTTTCAGTCCCAGAGCCTTACCTGCACAGAAACTTGGATTTGCAACAGGGGTCTCGCTTTTTTGGGGCCTGCAGGCCTCGGGCCTCCCGGCCTCCTCTAAAGCTTCAAAATCACTCCGGTGAAATTGGCCATTTGAGGGAGGCCTGCCTGTAGGGGCCTTCAGGAGGTCTCCAGCTCACCACCAGCAGCCTTACGCTTTAACTGTTTTTTGCTGTTGACCAAGATGGACCAAAGTGAGTTTAGGCAGGTCCTAAATCCTAACAGGAATAGGTTTGGGTGGTTTGGCCGTCGGGGACGGCGTGGGGTGAGTAAACTTGTTAGATGGCCAGACGTGGCCAGGCCACAGCAGCATGTCGCACAACACGACAGGCTCCACACGATTCTGTGGCATGACCGTCTCTGCTTCAGCGCTATATCACAGCAAGTCGCAAATTAAACCTTGAACCTCCAAAAGACCGGAGATCCGGGCTTGAGCCACAGGATGAAATGTCAGCCTTCCTGGAGGACATCGAGCAGATAGATGAGGCAACCACAGGTTTAGGCTTCAGAGTTTCCGGTCTTCGGAGGCTTGTTATGAAAAGGTGACATAAAGGAAGGTACTCGTATAGTATAGGAAACAGGCCCCGACAATGATGGAGTCTACAATAGCGAGCCTTTAGCCCACCTACCTTCATCCCACCTTCTGAACCCTTTGGTATTAGAAGGAAACCACAGCTCTAAACCCCTACACCCTGAAGCCTTAAGCCTTAAACACTTGAATAGCTTGAAGGCTAAGTCTCAGGTGTTTCTCTTTAAGATTTCGGCGCCCAAGATGCTCAGCATGTTGGTGTGCTGTTTACAAACGCTCACCACATTAAGACTGCATGTTTCAGCCCCCTTGCCCTCAAAGCGCATGCGCAGCTATGATAGGTGGGAATGGTCGTGCGCGCGAGTCACCTCCGCTTGAGAACAGGCGACTGTATCCCAGCGCTGGGCACAATATTGTGCAAGCAACCCCGTGCTTAGCAGAGAGTGTTGCCACCGGGCTTTTGACTCTACGTCCAGGGTCACCTGGTAAGCCGCACTCTGCTTGCATGCCACGCTGTTTCGAATGGTTATTTTGCCCATGGTTACTTTTCCATAGGTCGCTAACCTGGACGGAATGTTGGTTAAAGGATGGTTTTTGCCGTTTTGATTTGCCAATCAGCCTGATGCAGAAGCATGAAAGAAATAAGATGCGCTTTCTTTCCTTCGATGTTGTTTCTGGTCTAAATACCCCAAACCCTAAGCCCCTAAGACCCATTCTGCACCCCCGAGAATGTCTTGCAGGCCAAAGGCAAAGAGGCAGTGGCTGAGACTGCGGCTGCGGAACCTGACAAGGCCCGGTTTAGGGCTTAGGGCTCCTAACTGCCTTCCTAGTGTCTTAGTGGGATCGCAAGTGTTCTCGTTGGGGTACTTGGCGGCGGGCCTCTTCCAAAGACAAAAACTTAGCCTTTGGAATCTTGTTGCTTTTGAACAGCCCACCAAAAAATCAACACAATGAGAACTAGTCCATGTTATTCATTACAGCTTGGTGCGTGCTTACCCTGCGCGCTAAACATCTCGACCTGCAATTTTCCTTTCGCAATGGCGTGGCTTGCAGAGTACCGATCCCCCTGAAGCCGATGACCCCAAAACCCTGAGCCAGCAAGCCCAAAGAAAGCCCCAACTCTGGACAACATCGTTGTCACGCTACCTTCTCCGCAACATTCTTTGAGGTTTTGGAATTATCCACACTCAACTAATCGGGCAAAACCATGGGTACCAATTATTGCAGGAGATGTAATGCCGGGTTTCTCAAATTCATATTCCAACAGACCCCACGTCAACACTTCTTGTTTGAGGGGATTTGTAGGGGTCCCTTGGGCTTGGTTAAGACATGTTGTTTTTCACAGATCTCATAATGTGCAAGCCATGTAATTTTTTGGTGCAAAAAATTCCCGTGAGGCAATGGTCTGGGTGTCAAGCAGGGGAACTGAAGCCTTACCCTGGCCGGCTTGACTTAGTATAAGTTGTTGTTAATGAACCCACAATGCAGTTCTGATATTGAGGAAACGTTATTGCCATTGTTTACCATATGTCCATCTTGTGATAACTTGGTTCAAGTTCCTTACCAACAGCGCAGTATTGCTGCGCTTCGCCCCCAGCTTCGGATACCATGCGCACCAGGAACCGGAGGAGGATGTCAGCATGGAGGTATGCGAAGAGGCTGCAGCTGAGGCTGCCCTGGGTTACTGGAAGGTCCATAGGGAGTAGTTGGGGCAGCCGGATTTTTGAACCCAAAGGGTCCATGTAGCTATGTAGTATACATTCAGGGCCCAAAGAGGTTCCCATATAAGTACCCTAGGGCTGAAGAAAGGTTCTATGTTACTATATACCTACATGGACCTTTTGGGAAGCATTCACCTTATTTTGGGCATTTACAACTTCTATCCTCACGGTTAATCATTACGCATGAGCCTACAAGTAGGCCTTGGTGGTTTACCAAAATCGCTACGCTGGACGTAGTGTGCAAGATGCTTTCAGCGCAGTGTTTTCTACATTCTTTTAGGGAGGATTCTTGAAGGAAACATGGACCCATTTTGTGGCAGGGCTTGCCTTGATCGAAGGCTGTTTGGGTAGTAGATATGTGGGTGGGCATGTGCAATCACTAGTCAGCGCAGTGTTTCGTGCACGTCTCGAACGTCATGCGAGGTAGACTACAGTGACTACAGGCACAAGCGCGTGGATGTAGGAGGGCCCGTTTTTGATTATGGGCTTCTTCTTCATGTGTGAGCAAGGAACATAATGCTGCTTCTCAGATTTTACATCGCAGCAAGGCATGCCTCTCTCCTGCAGCAGGGACCCTCTGAGCCAAAGCTTGTTTACCGCTTTCACAGCTCCTCACATCCTCGGACGTAGCCCGGACTAATGGGGAGAAGCTTGGGCTGATGCAGCGATGATAAAGTTCAATCAGATTTCCTCACAGCCCCGGACTAATGGGGCGTAGCCTGGACTAATGGCGCGAAGATTTGACTAATGGAGCAATGCGCGAATTAGATCAGAACTCCTCACGCCCGTGGGCTAATAAGGAGAAGCTTGGACTAATGGGGCGACGGTAAATTGAATCAGAATTTCTCACACCTTTGGACCTTGTATGAATGTCTATAGCAGATGTCACTACATTCAGATCATTTCTGGTCAGGGTGATACAAAAAAAGTGCCGAAAAGTGCACAAGTTACGTACGCCTCAGAGCGCCCCTCTGATCCACAACGCTCACGCAAGTAAAACATGTGGTAATTTCCCCCCGGAAGCCCCCTTAATCAGCAGCACCATGTGACCTACGAGGGTTTCATGGGAAACCAGAGGTAGTCATAGTCGGCCTGCTTGATTTGTCAAAGTAAGTTTTCCAGGAACTTTGATCAAAAGCCAGAGTGAAAGAATCTCCGCTGAAGTCCTCTTTCACATTTCGCTTTTTGCTAAGGGTGTCATTTTCCCGACGCAGTCTAAATCCAAACAATAGCTAAAGCAGCACTTTGACCCAGCTTTAAGCCCAGCTTGCTCGGTTCTCAAGGCCTGTGAAGTCTGTTGCCGGCCCGAGTCGGTCTCGGAGGAACCTCATACCATGGGAGCTTCCTTAGATTAGCACAATAGGTGTAAAAATGCCCCCCTGGATCAGTAGTTCATAATGTACGTATGTTTTAAGAACCCACGGAAGACCTGCGAACATAACTAAGGCGGTTTAGGATTTGAGGTTTAGCGCGTAGGGCTTAGGGCCTTAGTCTCGTGGAAACTGCGAACTTGTCAAAATTAAGGTTGAGAGCTGAGCATCTTGAGGGTCTAAGCTTCTATACACGCGCGAATATGATGACTTTTGGCCGCTAGTTCCTTTATAGTCCCAAAGTATCCCTGGTGTTCCCAAGGGCCTTTTATTTTCTGAAACCTCCGTAAACGCTAAGCCTCAAACCTAAACCCTATGAACCCTAAACTATCGCAATGCTTATTAAATCCCAAAGAATCCCACTATCAATCCCAAATTTCAAATCACTCCTACAGTAGTTTCCATTTTCTTTTCCATTATCCCTATAGCCTGCCTCATCGGAAGCCAGGAAGAAGCCAAGCCTCATCCAGCGCCAGAGGCGCAGGAATCGACGAAGGAGTTCGTGCAGGGGTCAGAGCAACAAGCATACGGCTTTGGGATACCGTCGTCGTGCAAGTGTTTTCGAGAATAACATACGTAGTCATGCAGACTTGTACAGTACCTGCAGCATCTGCTACACGAACGCGGAAGCAGATCATCCTGTTTTTGCAGGACTGTAGGCTCTATAGAGCCGTTGTTGTTAGTTTGGGGGGGGGGGGGGGG